TTATTCATTTGGTCCGTTATCTGATAATGAAATCAACCGTCGTATACGTACAGTGGCTTACAAAAATACTGAGATATATAGAACTAGAATTACTATTGCAGAAAATTTTGATGAGTATATCATGTCCATTACACGGAACTTTTGGAAATTTCATTAGCATTATCATGAAACATGACTATGGTATTTATAACAATAAAATTTCAAACCAATCCGAAGATGTACTTAGAAATTACGAGACATCTATTGCAAACATAAACTTAATGAAATATTATTATACAGTATGAATAGCAGTCTTAAATATACAAATAGCGTTAAAGATCGTCTCCTTATATATTCTGGCTTATAGCGAATTGTATGCTTGATTTATATAGTGTAATGTATGCTTCCAATAAATAGTTCGATCCTTTTTAAATTTAACCAATATAATTACGATAATAACGTTTCTCGTTATAATAATAATGAAATTTCAAAATGTTTTGTAAGATATATAGGTAAAAAGTTTCTAGAAGTATTCGAATACTTTGGTGAGCTACTGTACATGTACGTTACATAAGTATTTGGACACTTCCAGATTATTACAAACATACATCAAATAAAGCTCTGTAATCTAATTTTCATCTCTGATTTTATTTCAGATAACTATATACGATTTAGTAGATATTGATAAAAAAGATAGTTTATATTAATTGACATAAATAAGAAAGCGATAATTAAATGTGGATGAAAATTGCTTTTACGAAAACACCTAAGGTAATTGACTTTAAGTGTATCTATACAATGTTGATATGTTAAAATAATTGGAATACAAATGTGTTTCCAACTACATTTCAAAATTCTATAGATTTTAAAAAGTGTCAGCTATTTATTAGAGATAAATATGAAACCCGATTGATACAAGTATATTCCTTGATTTAATTTTAATTTAGCAAAACACTTGTTCCCATTTACGCCACAAACTAAAGAATTAATAGTGAAGAAACATTCTTCTACCGTAATATTCCAAATATAGTAAAAATATCGATGTTCTGATTCAATTGTATCGAGTGTCCAAATTTCATATGTACGATATTATACATCAACTGTTGTCAGATGATTTATCTCAAAAACTTTCCGCACAGAAAGGACGTCCTCATTGATCAAACAAAGTATTTTCGTTTTCTAATCTTATCTATTTTTTCAAAGAAACACTTGCGAACCCGCCATTCCTGTCCACGCGTTTCGATTGATCGAGTTTTGTTTACGTCACTAGCGATAATCACCGGCAATTGGCCGAGACAAGCGGCAGGCGTCTGCTATGAGTGCTAGGTATGACAGTCGACTAAGCGGCATCCGACGCGACGATCAGCAGACGGCACAATGTCTTCGTCCTCGCAAGCTCAGCTGAACGCAACAGCTGTAGAGAATTTTCGCGAATATTTGCGGATACCTTCTGTCCAACCGAACATCAATTACGGTAAGCAATTTTACATATTCGATCTCTAATTGTATTTTCCTGATTTATTTCCCACGATAAACAACGCGAATACTCTTTCAGTCATCACGCGTGTACCTTAAGCACGTACGGTCATGTAAAAATTATGCACGCATATTGTGTGCCGGGATACGGACTCCGTCATTTCCTTGTTAAACAAATTACGCATTTCTGGTGTACTACAGAATTTCTAGATTTTCATGTTAAATCCTTCGCGTTAATTCACGATGCTCGCACGTTTTCACATGGGGACAGGATGGATCTGCCAGTTAGCCCAACCAACCCAACTTCGAAGCGTCGGAGACGCTATCCAGCCATTGCATGCCCCACCCTGTGTGGAATGTTATTTCTACCTCTGTATCTTTTTATTCAACTGACGGTGTGCCTCTAGACTTTTGTAAAATCATCTCCGAACTTCTGTTTTACTTTCCGACAAAAATTTGAAATTTAGCTTGGATGAATTTGGCTGGGTATGATCATTACGCAAGTACGATTCGTGACTGACCTAAATTACACGTAATTAGAAATTCTTTTTAATTCTCGTATTGAATTGTTTGTTTTTTATGTCTGTTCAATCTAATTCAGTTTACCGACGATAACGAATCGTCGGAATGATGATTGCGCTGTAAATATTGGGTTTTATAATTTATCAAAGCAGTTACGTCAAGAGTAATTAACTGTTTGTATCTTCGTAAATCTCTTCGTCAGAAATGTCGATCATAGTGAAAGATAAGATAATTTTGTTTATTACAAACAAAATAAGATAACCGATATGTAAAAGAATTTCAGAAATTCTTGCTCCAGTTTTAAATAATAGGATGATTTGATATCTTTGTGTTAAATATAGATATATGATATTAATTAATTGATACTAATTCAAATCTTTCATTTCGCAGATGATTGTGTTGCATTCCTTCGGAAACAGGCAGAATCTCTCAATTTACCTATTAAAGTATATCATGTCCAGGCGAATAAACCAATTGTTGTCATAACGTGGATAGGAACAGAACCAGCAAAACCAGCTATTCTACTAAATAGTCACATGGATGTTGTACCTGTATTTGAAGTACGTATGGTAACATAAATGTGTAAATTTTTAATTTCTCAGAATTCTGTTATTCCATTCGTATGATCTGCAAAGCGATTGACTTTTGTTTGGTATTTTATAAGTAAACAAGTATTTACGTTACCAAACCTTTCACTACCACAAAGTGGTTTTTGGTCTATCTTATGGTATGAAAAACATATTTATATGATATGAGTAACGTATTGAAAAAGTTGTAAACATCAGTGCATCAACCTTGAGGGAACATATGCCGGTACAGTGAACTAATACCAGACCTGAGAAATTAATATTAAAGAAAAAACCTAAATGAATAAATATAATTAACAAATAAAACTTTTCAGGATAAATGGACCTATGCACCTTTTAGTGCTCATATGGATGAAAAAGGAAACATTTATGCTCGTGGTAGCCAGGACATGAAATGTGTTGGAATTCAATATTTAGAAGCAATTCGTCGTTTAAAACTTGCTAAACAACATTTTAAGAGAACTATCCATATCTCCTTTGTACCTGATGAAGAAATAGGAGGAGATCTTGGCATGAAAGATTTTGTACGTACCAAGGACTTCAAAGAGTTAAATATTGGTTTCTCTCTGGATGAAGGTGTAGCTTCGCCCGAAGAATATTTTTATATGTTTTATGGTGAAAGAGCAATTTGGCATGTCGAAGTAGAATGTAAGGGTACTCCTGGTCATGGATCCATTTTACATGATAATACAGCTGGTGAAAAAATAAGAATTATAATTGATCGTTTTATGGACTACAGAGTTCAAGAGAAAGAAAAATTGAAAGATTCAAAAGTACGGCTTGGCGATGTTACAACCATAAACTTAACGCAACTGAAGGTATATAGTTTTGGGGGATTTATTGCTTAGCTTATATTTTATCATTCACATTATAATTTTATTTATTCATGCTTTTATCTTATATTTTGAAGAAGCAAAATTAATTTGTGTTTTAAATATTACATGTCTGCGCGTTTAGGAAAATATTACACAGTGAGTCAGTTTTTTAAATTTTGATGTTTAAAAACAACGAAGTAGAATATTCCGTGTTGTACTAATAATGGAAAAATATAATTTGTTTCAGGGTGGCGTGCAAACAAACGTAGTACCTACTTCGTTGACGGCAATTTTTGATATTCGAATTGAGCCTTCCGTCGATCACACCGAGTTCGAAGCTATGATCAAAAGATGGTGTGAGGAAGCTGGTGCCGATGTTACGTATTCGTTCGAACAAAAAGATCCCAAGATCGAGAACACAAAGATAGACGATTCTAATCCCTTCTGGATCGCTTTTAAAAAAGCTTGTGACGATCTTAAAATAAAGTTGCAAATAGGAATCTTTCCAGGCGGAACAGACAGTCGCTATATAAGACAGGTAAATATCCCTTCTATTAACTTTTTCTTGGTATAAAACGGTAAACGATACGATGATGCGTTTTAAAAGTCCGTTTTCTACTTCAGGTTGGAATACCTTCCATTGGTTTTTCACCCATGAATAAAACGAAAATACTTCTTCACGATCACGATGAATATCTTAACAAAGATATATTCTTAAAGGGCATTGATATATATATGAAAATAATACCAGCAGTAGCAAATATCTAACCAGATGATATTAAGTCTCTAACATCACACGCTTTTTAAAATTGTGTACCTTTATTTCAAATACCAAAGTCAAAAATTAAGATTAATAATAGGAGTTAGGAAGAAGTGCAGAAGTTTACTAACGTTCCTGAACGAACGAAACATAGTGCAATAATTCATAAAGATTTAGAAAGTTATATATGTTTCAAATATTTATATTTGTTACACAAATATGTTTTTATTATTATCAAGTTGTTATTAATTGAAAGATTTATAGAAAGCCATAACTGTCTAGTGGAAGTAAATGTATTTACACGCATTTGGTCTCGATGATTAAGGAATAACTTGGAACAAGACTGAGAGAATGTAGAAAAATGAACAAATGATTTAGGAACGAAGTGCGTCGTTGAAGAGTAACAAAAAGAAGGTCTCATCGAGAGGAACAAAACACAACAGTCAAATCATTCTGAATCAGGTATTGGGAAATGCATTTATCAATCTCTCTAGTGAACTAACTGAAATCAGAATATGTTATTCAGTGTACGAAAACAATCGATACTATTTTTTTAAGTACAAGTTATGTTGTAAAAGATCAAGTACCTTACTAAAACAACGAATATGTTTTATTTTTGACTGTATAATTGTACGTAGCAGCATTTGAGACCATAGAATTTAATGTTCCTTATTATCTGCAAAGCGTAGAATTGCTGAAAAAAATTTTATATACATATATTATGTATACATAATGCACATATATACACAAATGTTTAAGTAATTAAATATATTTTATATAAACCATGACAAAAACTATGTCTATGGTAATTATATATTTTTATGCACAATACAACAAATATATTTCTTCTTTTTCTTCTGTGCTTTATATCGCATTGACTGCGGGATCATTAACGACTCTTAAATATATGTATTTATTTAAAAAAAGTAGATATAACAAAGCTATTGATCTCGATGGGCTAAAGAATTAATATTTTGCCCAAAATTCTGCAACAAATTAATCATATTGATATACGTTAGTATTATATTTAATTCGATACAGTGCGTACAAATCTGTTTCACAGGGTAACGTTGACTTATGTTTTTCCACATAAAGTCGATAAATATGTATGCGTGTGTGTATATTCCCGCCATTATTGCTATGGTTCATTCTTGACGGGACTGCCGCGCTCCCCTCCCAATTAGAACGATGGACTCGTCCAATGTTTTCGATTTACTGTCACGAATGATTTTCGCGTTTCCAGCATAAATTGTAAAATATTTTACATTTAAGGAATGATAAAAAATATTAAGATTTTTTTAAGTCGCACATGAAATTAAAACATATCGAAATATAACGAGAGTGAATGATTTTCTGTGCATTGTTTGGATTCGGCCATTTTGAAGTGGGGAAGGTAAGGGAGAAGTCGTACAATTGTTGCCATTCTTAACGCGGATACTGCAGTGTCTATTGATTGATTGTCGATTTAACGAATAATTATTAGTAAAAAATTATTACATTTAATAGAGATAATATTTCTGTAAAAAAAAATAGAAAAGAAAATTCCCTGGTGCGTATCCCTTTGTCAGCCATGTGCATAAGTACATCGTTTAAAATGTCCTCGCAACCCGTAGTGAACAGCCAATAAGGAGAGGGCGGCAAAGCCACGTGACTGCGGCCGGCCAATCGTCAGGACGAGATTTGAAATCGTGCGTGGTCTTTGTTCACGAGCCTCCCGTCAACGTTACTTCAGTTCCGTAAAGGGGGTCTTGTGTCGGTGTCCGTTTATACATGGTCGCTGCCAAAAATCGCATAATTCTCTTGTAAATATATGTGTGAAAGTGGTGCTTGCCCGCGAGGACGACGTGCTTTAAGGATTGTCAAACACACGGTAGGTCTAGTTACGCTTTATTTACGTGCCGTTCACGCAAGCCTCAACGAAAAATTATGAAAAAATATTTCGTCTTAGCCGGCCCGCCGAGCCATTCTAGCTTTCGAGTGTCAAGGTACAAGGGGGCAGTCATGATGCTTTCAACTCTAATTTTTTTTTCTACCTTTCTTCCTACACAGAGTTTATCGAGTATTACGATACATCTATGTTTACGTTCGTGTTTGCACACTACTGTTAATAGCAGCGGATTAATCTGTCAGTAATTGAGCGGTTCGACGATACTTTTTTCTTCTTTTTTTGCCCCTGCGCGTTGCCGGTATTTTTAGACCGCTTGGACACGATAAATTCACGATCGGCCACGAGATTCATACATTTGCCGCGCTCCGCCGATTCGATAGCGTAGGCGGCCGTGAGCACATCACCATAGCAATTATTTATCAAGCGTACAACGCTTCGTAAAAAATAAACAATCGGTTGGCTGGCTCGTGTGTCAAATCGAACTGAATGAGTGATTCATCGTAAGCAGAATGGACCTCGACGTAACTTTCGGCGGGAAGAGAGTGAGTGTATTACCGGGAAACCTCACTGATATAACATGTATTTCCGGTGATGAAAGCCATTGTTTTGCCGCTCAATGCACTCCGTGCAATGTCACGTTTGCACTCGTACGACGAATCGTCATTTTGATTCGGGGTCGTGTTCGTCAGCGACGAGAGAGGGAATAATTATTGTGCACAAAAATTATTTTCGTACTAGTATTTTCTTCTTTTTGATAAATCATTTTTAGCGAAAAGAATTAATTTGTAAGTAATTTACGATATTCGTGTCCACATAAATTATGGATTTCTACTTGCACATCAAATTAAAATCTTATACCGCTTACTGCTTTAATCGACGTTTGCATGTTGCACAATGTCGTTTTACGTATGTGTCATCAAAAAAGAATTACCATCAAAGATGGCGAAAGATTAACAAATTAAGCGATTTACACAGTGTTTATCGAGACTTATTGATTCGTGGTTAAAAAGCTTATTATAACGAAGTTATTTTTTTTTTATTAACGTTGGTTGCAGTCTACGCTTAAAATAATTAACGAAGCTAGCCGAAAGTTTCCCTCGACTTGGCGGCAAGTAATCAATAACAGGAGTAGCAATTAAAAGCCCTCGTTTTCAATTGGGATTAGAAGGATCTATGGGAAATAATTTATTGATTTTAAAGCAAAAAAGATTTACACGATGTTATTAAGAATGTATAATGAATTAATTATAATGTTAGTAAATATTCGTAACGGTATAGTATCATTCGTAGAAGATTTATTGGTTTTTGTCGAATCGCGGTCTCAGAAAAGGAGATTTTTTGAAAATATTGCGAATAACGAGTAGTAGGGAGGGCCCCTCGAGCACTTTCAAGCCTCACCGCCACGAAAGCTATTGACCGTGGGAACCTTCTCGGAACTCTACCCCTCGCCATATGCCCACCGCAGGAAATATCCTACAGGCTCGACCGAAATTTACCTCGCCATGTTTCGTGTTCACGAGTTATTATTATTTGTCACTGAGAAGAGTTCCTTCGTCAATACATTTTTTTTTCATTTAATATTTTTTCTTCTGCATTACGCTAAAGAAAGTTGTTTCTTGGCAATTGAATCGATGCCATGACCGTGTGCTGCCCGTTTTCATGCCCTTTCCTTTCTTTTTTTATTTTTCCTTTATTTATTATTTATTATTATTTTTCCAAAAGTACAATTACGCTTAATATCGATTCACTTATTTTAATTTATTATTTTATTTTCTAATATATGTAGCGAAACAAGCATTTTTACAAGCTCGAAATTAGATACGTCATAAATAAATGGGAGTCCGTTTTCGTCAGTTACTAAAAACATTGTAGTTACACGTTTCAATGATTTTTTGCCTCGTTTTCTTCTATTTACCGAAGGATCGTTGGAGATGAACATTTGATTCGCACCATTGTTTAGAAACGAAACTGAGAGAGTGCCTCTAGGACGCGTTAGAAAGTTGTTTTAAAAGATGTGAAAAGATAACCGTAAAAAAAATTACTGTTTCATGCGATGCTTATAACCTCGCTTCTCCTACGGTTATCAAGCAGAACTCTCCCGTAACGTAATTTTTCGAAACAACGATAACGCGATGAATTTTGCTTCACACGTTTTAGTAAACAGTAGAAAATACTATCAAATTGAAGAGTGTTTATTCGTTCGCACATGTTTTCATTTTCATGGTGGCTCCGTCTGGTTTGTTACGGTTAAATCTAATCGAGATCAAGAATCGATTTTGCGCTCCCGTACTACAACACGCAACAACTTGTAGCTTACGTATGTTCGGGGAAATTCGCTTTGCCGAATGCAGATTGCGTGCCATTCGTAGCAACACGCGAAATCTTTCAAGAAACTGAATCGGTTCTCTTGGTGAAAGCAAAATGATTCGAATAGAAGGAGCACTTCGGTCGAATTTATTTCATGCTTAAAGTTTTTATCGAAGGTGAAAAAATAACCGACGCATTTTTGAATTGTTACCGTTTTATCTTCCATGCATCAAAACTGTTTCTAAGTGGTCGAGGATATACGAAGATTACGAATGAAATAGAGCCCGTAACGATAAGCCGAGCGAGATTTTTTTCGCGCCAATTTGCCATTGGCACACGTCCACGTGTACGTGAGGTTCCCGCGTTCCATCTGTGTGTCTTTCTCCCTCTCTTTTCGTCGTCCATGTGCAATATCGTATCGAGTACCTACTACGAAATTAATTTTCCAGTTAGTGATGGGCATTTGAGTCTCAATTTCAAAACGATTCGACGTTTTTCAAGACTGTCAATATTAGAATATTAGAAATTTATTAATATACCTATAAAAATATAACATATACATTTATTTTTTTATTATTTATTTATTTAAAATTGCTGAAAGTTTTCAGAGTTTCGACAGGATTGCGAAGTTTCATGAGTACATACGCCATATCTTTTTCCGACTATTTTTATTCACACAGTATCATAAATACACGTGTTTACCTTTCTCATCTTTGTAGCTTACACATTACGAATGTATCAGTTCTTGTATAGAATGTATAGAATCTTGTCGCATAAAAACATTATTCTTATTATTTAATTACTAACTTATTTCACTTTTACTACTTATTATTATATAGAATACTACATTGATTTTAAATAGGATTTTCATTACTCGATAAATAACACGCATAACCAATAAGCCTATTGTTTTACAAATTTTTGTCCCAATCATCAGGAAACCTTTTCCATTGGCATTCTTTCGTTTCAAACCTTGTCGAGACTGAAACTTCGACTCGTAGCTGATTTGAAATTGTTTGCTACGTACACAGACCCGAAGCGATACGAGGTGTTTCTGATCCCATCAATTGCAACTCTCGCAAGCTATTTCTCAGTCTATTTCCAACTGATACACGCGCACAAAGATAGCGATAAGTTTCTTGCCATAGGATAAGAGAGAGGGTACGCTGTTCCGTTAGAGAATTACCGCGCAGAATAATCGAAGCGTTAAATCGTATTCATGAAATATTTGGTTTGTAGAAAATATTTGACGAGTAATGAAGATCGATCGATCGGTTGACAGGGATAAAAAGCTGTGTATCAGGAATCAAGAAGGAAGGCTGTGTAGTGGCTCGGTGCATTTTCAAACTGTCTTGCGGCAGGCAAGAACCGAGGCGCACCACCACTAACGACAGCTTTGTCGTGCGTTAGTGAGCGTGCACGCGCACACGGCGTCCGTGAGTGCAGACACGTTCATAGCTCTTTTGCAAACACTGGTCGGCCGGCGCGGCGCGGCGGCAGGGATATCAGATCGATACTGGGCGAAAAGCGCTGGTAGGAGAGGAGAGCACGGCTATACGTATATCTGTACGGTTGGTCCATCGCAAGATGCAGACTGCCGACTCTCTCTTTCTCTCTCTGCCTATGCGCTCGCGGATACGCCCCACCATCCTTTTAATATCAAGCAAATTCGTCGGATGCACTCTACTAATCTGCGCGTTATTTAGCATCCCGCCAGGATACACTACCGTGCATAAGCATTTACACATGTTCAGACTATTGGAATTATATAAAATATATTTGAAGTAAAGCTCGTCAATCTAATTCTCGCTTCTGATATTATTTCAGGCAATCATGTACAGGTAGAGGATATTGTTACAGATAATAGCTGTTGTTGATTAGCATAAGTAAGAAAGCAATCATCGAAGGTAGATGAAAATTGTTCCAAGTTAAGCGACCTTAAGCGTCGTGTCTGTTCAATGTTGAGATCTTAGAACGATGGATATGTATTTTCAAGC